TGTTTCTCTCTCTCTTTGACTGTATTGACCGACCTATTAAAGCAGAAAGCTCACATAATGTCTTCTCATCAACCAGTTGAACTCATCAAATGAGCCCAGAACAAAAACCAAGCTAACAGCCAATATCATGTCATCACAGAGAGTGCCTTGGGTTGTTAAGGAGAACTTGTAAACCTTATCATCAATTGATGTATTCCAAAGAACACAGGACAATTACTATCACCACTGTTCATCATTATTTTAATGGTGTGTTCACTGACTGTGTGTTCTAAACAGTTGTAATCAACCTCTGCAGTGTTTATAATTATTACAAATAAAACAAACGCTTACTCATGTCATTTGTGTTAAATGTAGTTTGATAACCCTACACGGCCTCTACTTAAACATGTTAGTATCCACTTGTGTGCAGATGCAACCCAAAGTAGGTTTTTATTATAGTGGCAAACATGACAGATAAAAATAGACTTTCTGCAGAAATTCTACAAGCCCGTCCATCATAGTAATGGATCCTTATTAGTTACTCCTGCGGCTACACACTGAAAAAAAAAAAAGAAGAAAAAAAGAAGAAGTAATTTCTCAACACATCTGTGTGTCCAGCAGGGACAACACACATCTGTGTTAGTGTTAAATGCAAATATGTCCTCACTGTTGGGTGATAAATCTCCTAAATGTCAACTGTTTAGCAACACACAGAAACAGTCTTGTTTTAACCTGACATGCAAATATTTTGAGCTAATTGTGTTATTGTGACTTTTCTCAGCTCACAGAGCAGCTTGTGAGCCTTGACATTTAACTCTATTTGGACACACAATGCTCCTCTCACCTCAAAACTACCAGTGAGTTAGCCCAGCGGAGAATTCAACAGTCCCTGCGAGAGACTAGTAGATGATGTAATCTACACTGTCTTAACTACATATATATTTAGATGCCCTCCATTTTCTAAAATCTAGAGTTGATCGAGTCTGTGTCAACATTTTAGTGACTTTAAATACCTGCTCTCCCTTGAAAGACACTTTATAATATGTATGTGCTATCAAATATATTATTGGCTCACAAGGAACCAAACTGTATGCTTGTGAATCTAGTTCAAAATATCAAACACTAACACTAAAGTAGATCATTAGTGTTGATTAATAGAGGGTAATTGGACTCGACTAGAATCCTTCAACAGACGACCTTCAATACAAGCTCACTTCAATGAAAACTGACATGTTTGTAGAGACACGATATTGAAGGTCAAACTTACTTCAATAAACAGGATTTAACCACAAATAGATAGCTGCAAAAAGATTAGTGATAATTTAATATTAAGTGGCTAATTAGAGTTTAATAGTAATTGTCAAGTTGTACTGTAAATGTTAATTAGGAGGTTAGAAGCCAGTCTAGAGTCCCAAAGGTGTGGATGGAAAATACCAACCACAACACAACAAATTATCTCACACTGCTGCTATTCTGGAAGAAAAAACATGTTGAGTCAAATCTGGTCAGACTTCAATCTAAGCCTCCGCTGTTATCCCATCTGAAAAAGCATTACATGTAAAGTAGGAGCCTTCTTGAAGAAGTTTACTTCTGTCTAAGTAACTTTGCACTTATCCCTACCAGATATTGTTTTGTACATGTTCTTTGGTTTACTATAATATATAATGGTCTTGAGTCAATTACAATCAGCAAAATCTAAATTAATGTCTAAATGCTGCTGATTATTCTGTATGTTGTAAACTGCTTTACCTGTTGACTTTGTTCAAGTAACTATGGCTAAACCAAACATAAAAAATGTTAGACAACTGACAATAAAGGCCTCCATTAAGTGACAATATGACCATGACATTTAATCTAACATCGCTGACGTTGAAGGACATCAAAACCAAAAGAGGTTCGTATTTGGGAAAACGTCTTGCCTTGTCAATTATTTCAGCTCAGGGTTCTTCAGATTTTCCAGTGATATAAGTTAAACATTTAACGTGCCCCATTACTCATGTGAGATTATTGTAGTTCTTACATGAGTAATAGAGAATGTTAAATGTTTAATGTATCACTGGAAAAACTGAAGAACCATGTACTGAGGCCAAATCATTGACAAGGCATTGCTAGATGGTAAAAACAAATGACAAAATGAACATTTAATTCCTATATAAAGTAAACTCTGTGATGATACACATTTTCACTCAGCTGTAAACTTTCTGTCCTTTGATATACAAGCGTGATTATATCCATATACACATACATGCTTTATTCATAAACAACATCAGCCACTAGAATGAGACCTGAACTATGAACACTGGAGATCAAAGTACTTAGCAAAAATACTCCATTTTCAGTAAAAGCACTAATGACTCTTTTAAACAATAGCGTAGTAAACACATCAATCATAAAAGCAGTGGTTATTCATTATGTCCACTGCAGTGGTTTATACTGCGTTGCTTTTGTACTATGTCAAACCTGTAAGTGGAAACGTAGTCCACTTCTATACAGCTTTTTTTCCTGATTCATCACTCATCGCCATCACAAAACTTAAACAGTATTCTGCATCCATACACCAGTTTAAAACTGAATCGAAAGCACTTCCAAGGCCTCAATGACATAAACAAACTGCTCCTCTGATGATGGATTTTGTTGAAATGACACAGAGGGGGGAAAAATGACACAGGGGACGAAAAAGTTCAGAAAAAGAAACAGTCAGCAGAAAAAAACAAACCTGAAAGAGATGGAGCTAAGAGGAGGTGTGTTGTGTTTTTTTTAAGCTGATATAAAGAGCCATCAGTCTTCAGCTCCAAATGTTCCCATCAAGTAAACATCAATAAATATGTATGAAGGGAGAGGGAGAGGGCGAATGAGAGGGGGAGAGAAGCGCTAAGAAATCAAGATGGAAAAGAGAGAGAGGCAAATTGTGGAAAAGCCACACTCCTTTACTTACAGAGTAGCCATACTGGTTTAAAGACTTAAAGCTTTCTCTTCAAAGATAATACAGATGGGTGACTAATTAAAGGTCCAGTGTGTAACATTTAAGAGGATCTGTTGGCAGGAATGGAATATAATATTCATAGATATGTTTATATTAGTTTTTAATCGCCTGCTTTTGTTACCTTTGAATGAGATGTCTTTAACGACACATGCCGCAGGTCGCCTTCCGTGGAGGCCGCAATGTTTTTACAGTAGCCCAGAATAGAACAACCCAAACACTGGCTCTAGATAGGGGAGTTCGCACAGTAGTTTCTCCCTTGGACTTGGAAGCGGAGGGTGAAGCTCAAATGACTAGAACCTCCTCAATGACCATTAAAACCACCTCAAAGACCTGTAGAACGTCATCAATTACTGCTTACCTCCTTTAGGTCCCCAATATTACCCTGAATGATCACAAGAATCACCTCATGATCTCCTCCTAATACAACTGGAACCCCCTAAAGTATTCGAAGAACCTCCTTAAACACTACTACAACCACCTACAGGACCACACTTAAAGGACCTGGCTCAGAGCCACTCTTCTACAATTTTCCATCGTTCTTTTCTTCATTTCCATCAAAATTAGGTTTGCATTTATATCATATTGAGACAAAACTAGGTTTGCAATATCTTGCAGCTTGCCATCCTGTCATCCTCTGGTGTTCTGTGTACAATGATGGAGCAGAAAAGTACAATCTGTGACTGACATCATGCTCTTGGACCAATGGTCTGAATCATCAATATTAGGAGTGTTTAGAGGCACTGAGCTTGAAAATGGGGGAAGGAAGGATTTATTTTTTGGCAAAGTGATGCTGTGATGGGCATACTGGTCTACCTCCAGTCCACATAGTTGTGAGGAACAGTGGGGCCTTGGCGCTCCAGGACTCAGGCCTGTTTGGCTTGTTCAGCTGAATTTTATCTGCTCCTCTGTCCCATAAAACCTTCCTATTGACAGGCAGCTCCACATCGACCCTCCCTCCCTCCTCCATATCCAGCCCACATTTTTCTTCCCTATGAGTATTAGTTTATTGAATAAGTGGCATCTGTTTTCCTGGCCCCGTCACCGTAAGGCGAGGTATTTCTCACTGACGCACAGCACTGATTTATACGCCGCTCTGACTCTCCCCGCAAAAAATAAAGCTAAGCAAAAAATTTCCAATACATCCTCCGTCCCCCCAACACACACACAAATACAAACGCACACATCAAATTCCCTCCTTCCTCCATCCATGCTGTATATAATTAAGTTGGCAGATGTTATACACACTCCAACACTTTTACACTCTCTTCACTCTTATCCACAAACTCCCACTTTCTGTCACACACAAATAGTGTGATGATGAGACAACTTGAGTAATAAATTACAACTAAATGTCTGGTTTGCAGACTAAGACTAGACTGAAAAACTGCAACAACAGGTTATAAAAACTCGAATGCTGTGTCATGTTCATCGTGTTAATGTTTAATCCATACAAGCATTCCTGGCAATAAAAGATATACAGACACTGCAGTTGTATAACTGTCATTTTTGCTTCCCTATCCAAAAGGAAACAGAAAAATTACATTTTATTCTCTTTTAAGCCATCAGAAGTTGCAGCAACTGCATCCTTTAACCAGCCGGATTGACACTTCGGAAATCTCAGGACTGTAACAATGGCTACCAAGGTTGTATGCATATTACATTTATCCATAATGCTTTCTTAAAAGTAAAAATCTAAAAACATTGTCCATAAAACTTTCCAAATAGTTTGTGCATCACAGTCTGAATGTCTTGTACCAAAACATTTTAGCACTATTGGGCCCAAAAGTTAAATAGGATTCAATGTACTGGGCTTTGGACTCATATTGCAATAGTATTACTACTACACAGTTGGCTTTAGACTATTAAGAGAAATTTCATGGATACTTCTAACATTTTGGAGCCATAAAAAGATGTTAACTTTGGTAGTTTTTAGAAGTGGGGAAAGTAGTTTTGAGGAACTCACACTGGAGAAAACACTTCAGCAATCTTTTACATGACAATTCATCTAATCCATACAGTTTACAAGTTTAACACTTACAAATTGAAATGCCTCTTGCTGCTTGGGAACAGATAGATGAAAAAAATCAAGAAAACCATATTTTATGACAATTCGTCAACATTTGAGTATCAGTGAGGAATTTGTAAACTCTGTAATAGTTTCTGGTTGTGATATTCTATATAGCTGGTTATCCAGCATTAATATTCATACAGATATAACTTGTATCTGTTATAACTACAGATAGATGCTGTCTTACCTGTCTGGATTCTGCGGACAGACGTGCATCTGCAGCAGGATCCTCTGGGTGAAGGTTTTGAAGCACTGGCCACACTTCCACAGGTGCCAGTCACTGAAATCACTGCTTAGCTGGCTGGTTGAGGTTGGGCTCGCCAGGACACGCTGGTTCTTTGACCCCAGCTGGCCAAAACTGGAGTCTGACTGAACCCCAACCCCAGCCTTGTCCAACAGGGAGAAATTCCTAGAACAGGGGGAGTGGGGGAAGACCATGGAACGCATGAGAGTGGTGGAGAGGGTGGAAGAGGAGGAAGACGAGGAGGAAGAGGGTTTGCCATTCTTGCTGAAGGATTGGAGGGACTCCTGCCTGGTCATGGCTTCCACCACCGTGCCTGGGACGTTTACTGGAGACAAAAAACAAAGAGACATAATTGATTTGGTTACGCAGGTATTTGGTGGTTTCAAGACTCAAACCACAGTGTTTTCATAAACTGCTTACAACTAAACTGTGCGTTATGCCAAAGTTAGTGAATATTAAAACCATGATAATTCCTAGACTAGCAAATTGAGACAGGCTCCACTTCGCTGTCAGTCAGGAACTCAAAACTGTTGACAATTTACATCAAGCATTAAAGTTCCTGACTCCTTGTGAATTCTCCTTTACACCTTTTTTGAATTAATTCTTTGAGGTAAAGGAAAAGTGGTAATGAACAAAAACAGGATGCAATTATTTTGGAGATTAGGGTTCATCAGCCTTTACATCTGTCCAGGACTCCACCTGTCTGAGGCTGCAGGTGAAGCTTTTGATTTTTGAAATCTACATTTAAAAGCTTCACCTACGGTCATTAGCTCTGGTTAGTGCGATTAGATTGCAGATGTAAGCAGCTGAAATGAGTTTCCTTTGCAGGGTCTCAGTCTTAGGGTCAGAATGAGGAGTTAGATATCTACAAGGTACTCAGAATAGAACCAGTGAGCCTTCATGTTGAAAGGAGCCTGTTGAGGTCCATCTGCTTAGGATGCCTCCTTGATCTGCTGCCAATGCAACCCAGATGATGATGAAATATTGACAGACAGGAAGATCAACGTGCCCATTCTTAGTTCAAAACAACTTTTGAGGACGTTTAAGTTTTATCTGTAACCAGGATGATTTTGATGAATAAAGGATTTCTGTCTTTGCTGTTGTAAAGGAAACAGAAAGCAGCCAGTGTCCTAACTGAGGCCAGAGCCACCTGGCCAGCCTGGGGCAAACTGCAGCTCCTGCTTCCAGTGAATGGAATTATGGGTTTAGTTAGGCTGCTTGGAGTCTGTTCATTAGTACAGTTACATTGACATGTTGTTCCTCTCTCTGACCACAGAAATGTTTCTCAAACTATGGCTATAGCAAAGAGCCCAAATTGGGGCTCCAGCCTGAGGTGGTGGGTTGCCACATAATGGTCCTGGTGATTCTTAATCTACTTAGACAAACCCACAACTTTTCCTGTTACTAATAATATTACTAATGCTACTACTACTGCTGATGGCACTACTACTAGTATTATTACTATCTCTGCATGTCTTTTTCTACTATTATAACTACTACTACTACTACTACTACTACTACTACTACTACTACTACTGGTACTGCAATAACAATTATATATCACAACTAGTTCAAATACTGCAATTACCTCTGAATGTAACTACATCTACTAGCACTAATACTATGCCTACTATTCCTACCAATACTGCTCAACTCCTACTGCTACTTCCTCTACAATTGCTACTACTGTTACTGCTGCTACTACTACTACTGCAACTAGAACACTTGTAATACTACAACATTTATTTCTACCACTATCAACACTACAGTTATGAGTACACGGCTAGAAGAAGTAGTTCAGCCACCTTTACAAAGCTATGAGTATTACATCCACTTCTACAATTAAAACTACTACTGCTACCACTACACTATAAATTGTATTATGACAACAATTACCCCTAGTAGTATTAGAACTAGAATAAGAACAGTGAAATTTAAGTTGAATTATTGTGCATTTGTCCTTTGTGTAGTGTATTATTAAGGTTTTCAGTTTGTCCTCATAATTTTATGTATTTTGTGAGGCACTGTGTTTCTGTTTTGATAAGTGCTTTGGAACAAAAAATATGAACATAGAAGCTGGCAAGATAAATGTATTAGGCATATAAGATGAACAGATATGGGATACAGAAGTGTTGCTGGTGAATAAAACAGTCAAGTACAATGACATTAACAAGAAAAAAAAATTATATAAAAGTGTGTAAATTAGATTTTGGGTGAACCAGCTGTCCTCACTTGACCCAGAATTCAGCTGTGCTCTGTTCTGTGGTCTGACCAACTGACAGACCTGGACTTCATAATCCTTTATTATGTTTGAAATACCATTAAGAGGGCTTGTCTTACTTTAACTCACTGTGGATGGTTTCACTTTTCATTCCGTAAAACTGGTTTGTTTGGAAAAACTTGGTATGTGGACTGCCAGGAAGTTTAATAATCTGACTGACATGTGACTTCCCTGAACCTTAACCAAGTCCTTTTACTTTACTAAACTAAATCAGGTATTAAACATGGTGGCAGGTGGACTCTTTTGGAAGGGGATTACAAATGACATATTTTGATGTTCAGGTGGGAAGACTAATGCACTAATGCAAGAAGACTATGTTGTCTTTTTTTTCTCCTCTCTCTAACACTGCTGTGCTGCACCTCTGCAGTCAGGTCATCATAACCATTTTCCATCTTTCATCAGCTCACCTCTGCCATCAGGCCACCAGGCTCCATTGATCCTCTAATAACCTTATGAGGAGATAATTACACCATCTGTAAGTTGCCTGACGGCACTATTGACGCCCGCGTTACGCGCTGCTCGCCAACACTTAATTCATTTTGCAACAAACATCGCATATACAAAAAATGCATGTCAATACAGTTTGGGCTGCGTATGAAATGCATCATCAAAATGGGAGAATTATGCAGATGCATTCTGCAACATTGCAGAGTCCGTGTTTTCTTTCTTTATAATAATGTGTTCTCCTCCAGAGGGGTGCAACATGAATACAAACTGACCACAGTTTCCAATCTCAAGGGTGGAGCAGAGTATAAAGTTTTAAAAGCAACTAAAGCCTAAATGTTTGATACTGAAGAGAATTAGGGTAGAGTATCACCCTCTATCTCTATATCAGTCTTTTATTTTCTGTTTATATCTTCATTAATAAGTCTGACAGTAACTACATCACATTCAACATTTAACAGCTCCACAGAAAACACAAAATTGATCCACAAATCATTTTTGGAATGTGGGACAGAGCCACACTGAAGAGTATGAACCTTAGAGGCGCACACAACAATGACTAAGGTATATTGCATACGTGACTGACTATTTTCAATATATCCCATCCTGCCTTTGACTCAGCTCCAAGCTCATTGGTTACTACTGAAAACGATTTTGTAAACATATGTTTAAAAACAGTTCACAGATGTGTGTGTGTGTGTGTATATATATATATATTTTTTTTTTATTATTATTATTATTTTTTTAAAAGGCTCAGTAATTTCTAAACTGCTGTATGCTGTAAGTTTTTAGCAAAAGTTATTCTTTTAGTGTGGCTTTGAATCATTGACATTGAAACAATGAGTGCATCCTACTTGTTTGTAGGATTGTTAGTTTGGCTCTGCTCATGGATTTATGGATTTGTTGAAAATAAGAAACACATAATATTGACAGCCACATCTTTTACACTTTACATTTATAAATGTATTGGTTATATTGATATCAATAAAACAGAACTAACTAAATGGGGAAAAGTTTGACTCCACTGTTTGTGTCTCTCTGTCTTCCTCTCTTTACTGGTATGAAGTATTGTTTAGATTATGTTGCCAAAGCTTTGTTCGTAATCAATAATGATAAGTTACCAGAGATAATAAAGTCTTATAAAATCAATAGAAGCAATTATAATAGCGGTAATAACAATATGTCAAATAAAGAAGAAATGTGAATATGAAGCACAGAGGAGTTAAGCTGCAGGGGTGGACAAAATGTTTTCTGTCTTCTATCCTTCTCTCACAGATCTTTTTCCTCTCTCCTTCCTGTCCCTCTCTAAACTCTTTATCCCTCTCTTTCTATTTCCTTTAACTGTACTCCTCTCCTCCTCTCCATCTGTCCTTCACACTTTTTACTGTCTACTATTGTCTATTTTTCTATCCTCCTCTTTTTTCTATTTTCTGCTCTCCCACCCTTCTCTACTTCTACTTTTCTCCTCTACTTGCCTTCATCTCTCCTGTGTTCTTTCCCATTTTCCCTTTTTGCCTTCTCTCTCAACTGTGTGTTTTCTCCGCTCATCCTTTTTTTTCTCTTCCTAACCTCCTCTCTATCTCAAGTTCCCATAAAAACACAACTCATCTCCACATTACTGCTGTTGCTTCATGCTGCAGAAACAAGTTAGGAGAAAGGAGAAGAAGAGAGAAAAATAGTGTTACAGAGAAAGAGCAGATAAAAGAAAAGAATGGGAAATGAGGAAGAGGAGGAGAAGGACGAACAAGAGGACTATGAAGAGTAGAAAGACAGTGAGGAGTGCCTCTGAAACAATTCTTTTTTTCTCTGTCAGTGCACATGTTGATGTTGTTAGGCGTCGTCCGGGCTGCACAGCGTCAAGCCGACAGGCTGCGATTGGATAGAACATGCATGAGTAAATAACCACAGGGTGTGTGTGCTTTGATTGTGTGTCTGTGTGAGTGTGTGCGTGTGGAGGTTGTGTGTGTTTTCTTTGTTTTGTGTTGGTGTGTGGTTTGGCTCCAATATGTTCTCTGTCCATCTTTAATGCGTGTGTGTGTGTGTGTGTGTGTGTGTGTGTGTGTGTGTGTGTGTGTGTGTGTGTGTGTGTGTGTGTGTGTGTGTGTGTGCGTGTGTGTGAGTGCTAACATTCTGTGTGTATTTATATAAGCAAATGTATTGGGGTATGTATTGGGGTATGTGTGTATAATGTTATGTATGTGTTTAATGGTGTTTGTTGGCGTGTGTATTTCAATGTACTTCAACGAATGAACCATCACTGTCACATTTTTTGGCAACTTTATAGGTTATAATTCAGGGCTGATTCTAGTTACAATTTCTGTAAATTAATTTATCTTAATTTTCTTGTTTCAGATTTGAATTCACTTCCTTAGTTTCATCTTATTCATTTTAAATCTAAAACAGTTCCATTCATTACTTTTTGTTAAATTTATAGCTGCATTATGTGTAATTGTATTGGCTCTAGATTTGTGACTATGTGGTTGCCGGTTCAAATCTTTGGGCTTACATTGATTACAAAGTCTGCTTCCTCTGCCTGAGAGCTGTTTGGCAAGACTCTGAACCCCAGACTTGCCCAGTGGATTTACATGCCTTTAATGATAATTTGTTACTGTGTTACTTACTAAAGCTTGTTTAACAATAAATTCTGAAAATGTAACCCCATCTATAACAATTTAAGCAAAGTTAAGGTCAGATGTGGCCTGTCAAATCCATTTCACTTATGGAGTTAATCACAGATGATGTCAAAAGTATCTATTTTACACTATCATTTTTAACCCATTTCTACTTAATATTTTAGTTTCTACTCTGGTAATGAAGTAAATTCAATGAATGGCAGATTTAATGACACACACCCTGTCATTTTCTGCTATTTCTATACCACAATTATCCCTTTATCTTGGCTTAAACTGTCACAAAACAGTTACATTTTCATGTAGCGGTGTTGGAATTGCAAAATGTATTGACAGACGCAGTTTGTGTGTTCTGACATCTTCATTTTCCTTCATGGGCAGATTGTACATTGTAGCAAGCACGCAGCAAAAGATGAAAACAGAGCTACAGAGAACTGTAGTACTGGCCAGTTCACAGTCTGTAAGAAGAAGAAGTGCTCAGTCGGCCCTCTTTGCACTAATAAAGGTCAAAACTTTAAATGTTTACTGAGGACACAAAGTCACACATGCATGAGTTTTGACGTCACTCTTTTGTGGGCACAATCAGCAGATAACGATGCCATGGAAAACCCAAATGTTGTTAGTAGCTAAACGTCTTTAATTTAGAGCAGACCTGCTGTCTTTCAGTGGGTACAAAAGAAGCGTAATCTAATTTCACTTCATTTGGATGTGAACAAACGTTTTTCACTGAAGGGTGGAACAAAAGAAAATCCTCTAGTTTTTGTCTGCCCTCTGCCAGTGTGTGTGCTGGTACACAATGTATGTGTGTGTGTGTGTGTGTGTGTGTGTGTGTGTGTGTGTGTGTGTGTGTGTGTGTGTGTGTGTGTCAGTGTGTGTTTTGCACATCTGTACTTTTGGGGACTACATGGATAGATACAATTCAAGTCATCTATAACTGAGGACATTTTACCAATTTTTAGTTTTTGAGTTTTTGCACAGGTTAGCACAGGACTTTAGTTTGTTGTTTCTGTCTTCTTGAATCCTCCGCGTCAAACTGGTCTTCACTGGATTCCTGACTCTGGTGCACCACATTACTTTAGTATACAAATGACCATATAAGAGCGATTGAGCTATTCCAATGTGCCCTCAGTTAGTAATAAAGACACTGTGGCAGACAGCAATGTGCACCTCTTCACTAAAAACCTGCACATATTAGTTTTAATCTGCAGTATGGCTGTACAATTAATCAAAATATTATTGAAATTGCAATATGGCCAAGAGCAATATCCAAATCGCAGAAGCTGCCGTTTTTTAATAAAGGTAAAATGTGTGACAAAACAGTGCTGTAGTGCTGCGGAGATACCCTGGACTATAAATCTTCTCCAGATGTAAGAAAACATATATGTTTGGTACAGAGCCCAACTAATGTCACATCATCATGATTTTAATCTTTTTCTTTCAGTGAAAATCAAAATTGTGATGCAAAAATGATTATTCCCACTTATCGTGAATCAGATCATAATGTGCAGCCCCAATCTGCAGGCCATGTGATAATGTTCGACATATAAATACTCTGATCTTGTCAGATGTCAAAGAAAACTTGATTATTGTCTTTAAGATTCGATACTTACCCAAGAGGCAAGGAAACACTGAGGAACTGAACTAAACATCAGTAACTTTGTATAACTCTGACCGTTGATGCCTCATATTAGTTTCAAAGGAACTTTGGAATTATTAATAATTCTTATTTTTTTGCTGCAAGTCGTTACTTTTCCAAACGTAATCTGTCGTGAACTAAAGCGCTGAACCAGATTTTATGTGCTGAGGCTGCCACAATTCTGTCATGATGAACAATATCATGTTAAAGAGTCGTTCCATCTGTAAAACAAACCAGTTTGTGGCCAAACGTCTCTAATTTGCAATCAGCACGATCTCATTTAACTGCGACTCTGTGAGACGGGCTCCTAATTCAATTCATTTAAATTTAGGTTCCACAGATTAAAACTCCTTCTTCATGTTGTTTTGTGTTTTTTTCCTCCATAATTGTGTAAGAAACAAAGTCAAAGTTTGTTTTTTTCCCCCTGCAGGCAGTTACTCTGTCAAATCCAGAAAAGAATAGTTTGAATGGAAAAGATATAAACAGGCTGACTGAGCAGAAAACTGGAGGAGATGTAAACAAAAATAAATTAGTGACAGAGAAACAGAGACAGGGAGGGACAGAAAAGCGACAGAGAGAGTCGAGAACGAAAGAAAGACAAAGAAGAGAAAGAAAAAACTGACTATGAGTAACAGAGAAAAATAAAGACACAAAGTGTCTTTCACCGAACGACCTGACTTTAAGTGTCATGCTTATCTGATCAGGAAGGGCTGAATGCTAATGCTTATAATACTGTAAGGATGTTTTAACTGTTTTATAAAAAAATATACTAAAATTTAAGTCTGATTAGTGAACAAAGGGAGCAGCTGAATGTACCAGAGATCATTATGCGGACTATAAAACTTCAGGGGAGCATTTTCTTCACTAAAACAAGATAAAAACTAAAAGAAACACCCAAGATTTACAAAGACAGACAACTTCAACAAGTTAAGGTAAAACAAAAACTGCTCCTTTTAGCCTTTGTTTGAATCATGATGGCAGGAGCCTTTAGCTCTCACCAGGAAAGTGATACATTTATTAAAAATGAGTCATTTGATTTTTGCAACATAGCCTAAAAACTGTCAGCTCAAACGAGAGCCAGGTGGACTTCTGAGTTAAAACATGAACATCACCAAACTGGAGTTATGAGGTTTTCATGAATCATCAGAAATTGACTTAAGATGGACGATCCTGGATAAAAGATGGAGGTTCACAAGTGTGTACATTTTTGTTTGCAGAAGAAGAACAAGATGAAAAGTTTTGATGGAAAATGCTGGTGTTCCTTCATGGAGAAAAACAGGGAGAGAGGGGCCGTGCAACAACGGCAGGCCACAGAGTGCCTACATTTTAGCAAACAAAAGACCTCTTCCAGTGTTGTTTTGGCTGGCTCGGTCCGTCAGACAAATAAATCAGACAGAAGCAAGTTCGTAAAAAAAATCTGCGTTCAGTTCTTTGTTTTTGTGTCGGGCCAAAAGCATTCTTCCAGTTTAAGAGTTTAAATACTGTCAGTAATAAGATTAGGGCTGCTTCCAAAGAAAACTGCAGTTTTTTTCCAGCAGACAGACCAGTTGTTGGGCAGAGAGGTTTGGCTCATGTTTGGAGCATTTCAATGTTACAGTCTGTTTACATCTGAAAGATTTAGTTGATGCTTTTATCAACTTTTCCACAAGGCAGCAAAGGGAACCGGAACCTATCACTTTCTACTCAGTTGTCACTTTGAGCACTTCTTCCAAACTATTCAGCTACAGCAGTGTAAATATAAATGCAGATGCTACTATACTATACAGCAGTTATCTGCTCTACAAGTCAGTAAACGTCTTGGTGTTGTTTGGTGCGAGTCCCTAAAAGCAAGGATTATTTTTAGAGCTGCTATTCTGAAACTGATGTTCATCTAACATACAGGGAGAAATCCAATATAGAGGAGGCAGAGAGAGAAATATAAAAGAAGAGTAAGAAAAAAAAGACAGAAAGAAAGAAAGGCGAGCAGCGTTCTCTCACAGTTTTCGTCCTGAGCGATGCACTGCAGCGGGATGCCGAAGAAGGAAGTGTAGGAATCATTGTACCAAACCAGCAGCTCTGTTCCTCTGGGGATATCCATACACGCTCTGTAGAAGATACAGGACCTGCAACAAAACACACACAAATAAATAAATGTGCCAGACAATTACAGTACATAACATAAGCTGTTGCTAGTAGACATAGCTTTGCTTTATGGGTCACAAGGTAAAACGGTTGCTGCTGTTGCTACAAAATAATTCTCTGCCAGCAGCCATAGTATTTTACTATTATTATCTTATGTAGATTTTGAAACATTTAAGTAAAGCAGCACTAAGTGCAGCATCTTGAAGATTACATTTTCTTTGTCTATTTTCCTGTCTATAAAATAACCTGTTGGTTGTGTTCATTAAAATCATAAGTGTTTGGATAACTCACTTGATAAAAAGTTTTAAACACACCAGTTCAACCTTAAATCCTACCTCTGACGGGGCAAAAACAAACGGCTGACTAACAGAACTGCAGACGGGCAGATGTGAGGTCACATGTGACTCTCTCCAGGTCTGATTTTGGAAATCTCTCCCATCTGATAAGAACTCAATTTCACATCTGACAAAACCCAAATGATTTATGAGAAATATCTGGTGTCTCTCACTAATGACCATGTTGTTGTTCAAACGTGCAGCCAATGAGTTGACGGTTCCTGGGTCATACCACTGCTAAAACAACACCTCATCCACCCAAAAACATCATTTTAACAACATGAGCAAACTCCACATTCGAAACCACATTCTCATATCCAGCTCAAACTATTTTAAGACCATTTCCCACACGTTTTTTTCTTCCACTAGGGTGGCAGGGTGTCAGACAGATCAGATCGTAACTGAGAGGTCACAGGTTCAACTCCCACACGACATCTATGTTTTCTTGCCAATGTGCATTCGAGACAGAAAACAAATTACTCTTTGCAAACAGCTTGAGACAACCACTTGAAGGGAAAAGAAGTGATATTAAATCCAAACCATAACTGCTGTTTCATTTCCAGATAATTCAAAGCACATTACATTTCCTCATGTGAGAATCGTTCAACTAATGAAGTTTGACTTAACTTATTAAAAGGTTCCTTGATGCAATCAAAAGCCCCATTTAACCATCATACTGTTAAAATACGTACAAAACCAACATTCAACATAAAATCCAAACTGCTCATAAACAACATAAACAACCATACTGGTGGTTAAGCCCATTACCTAAAAATCATTTAACAGTCCTGCTGACCATTTTGTAAACCAGCCAGTTATTTTTAGATTGATGTCCTTCCTTCAAGGCAGACATTGGTTCCATTTGATTTCTATAAAGGACTGTCTGCAGAAAGATAAGGCATCAGTCACAATTTAGACTTTATTTTTTCTGTCAAAGTGACTCTCAAGGGAAGAGAGGAGACTAAACAGTGAGAAAGATAAACGGGGGGGCGGGGGGGGAGACTTAAATACGACCAAAAGAAAAGTCAAAAAAGGAAGAGGAGAAATGTCTGTGTGGCATGATGCTTATTCAATATTGCAGACAAACCTAGTTGAAAGAATACAGAGAGAAAAATACATTAAAAGAAGAAAACAGAAGTAGAGAAATAGAGCTAGACTAAGAGGGATACAATATAGTATGCACAGAATATTTAACAGCAGTCAGCTACAGGGGGTTGGAAAACTGAACAGAAAGAACTTTCAGCACATTACAGTTTTCATAGTCTCAAAGTTTGTTTTTTTGTTGTACGCGAAACTGAACAGTTAACACTGTCCTAAAGTTTAAAGACAAAACTGCAAGGCAAACATGGTGTGACATATTTCTTATATGTCAGTGCTAAAAGTAGTATTTCACATGGTTATAAGAGTGAGCGAAAGCACTAATAAAGATCAGAAATGAGGAAAACAGTTAGTTCAGCCAGAGTCGAACTGAGCCTGCTGAAGAAATGTGTTTGACTGTGTGTGTGTGTGTGTGTGTGTTTTATTAATTCTTTCCACACCAGGGAAGGGGTGGGGTGGTGTTGGACTCATGTAAAAACAGCCAGGAGGGACCAGGCTATAAATCAAACATACCCAATGACCTCCCAGGATAAAAAGAGAAAGTGGGGTCCACAAACATGCACCGGCTTGTATGTATTTAAAACAAATGTATGTGTTTAATACATACACGCTGGTACATTCAGGCAGGGCTGTGTTATAAATCAAACACATCCAACAGGCTCTCAGGTATGAAAAATAAAGACCCCTGCTGCCTTAAAGCAGCATGATTGAGTTTAAAAGTGTTTGTCTGGCAGATCAGTGGGATGCAGTATCGTCAGCTCGCTGATCTTTCCTCTGTTCTCTGTTTTCATACAAAGCCAAAAGTACCTTCATAATCAGCTTTTAAATAATGGCATACATACGAACAGTGTGAGGTTATAAATCAAACAACCCAAATACCTTACAAGGTGCAACAATGTGTCTACATGCATAAAAACCTGTTTATCAAAAAACCTTAATGTTGACAAAGCTTCACAAAGCCACTGCACAGTTTCAGTGATTTCTGGCCCAACCCAGTGGCCATTTTCTAGGGTTTGAATAGTCTTCAGCCAAAATGACTCACAAACAATTAGATCATCCACTAACAAGCTGCAAAAAACAGCAAAAGCCAGCAATTTAAACTTTGATCAAAGCTATAGTGAAAGGAAGAAGGAAGACATCTCAATGGAGAAAGGCCTCAGTCTATTCTTTCATTCTTTGGTGTTTCAACTGCATTTTTAACTATTTTAACACAATTGATTAGCACCCAGCAGCTGCCAACTAGAGAGCGCTCAGTGCACTGTAGTAGATCTAGTTAACCTAGAAATAACTCACAGATATTATTTTTTCCCATCAACCAATCATTCAGTAGAAGTCTAGGTAGAATTTCAGTCAACCAACATTTTCTTTGGTTGGCCACAGCCATAGAAAACATTATGTCCATCATGACGATGAGTTGTCCAGTTCAATACAGGAAACGGGATAATATTGAGTATGTCGGTAAGCTGTCTGTGGCTATATCCTGGTATGGACGAGTTTTACCAGTTTTTTTAAGTCTTGATGAGAAATAATGCGCACTCACCCTTTAGGGTAATTGCAATTTTGTTTCCTGATGATAGGCCCTAAAGTCTAAGCTTATACCTCTACATGAGTCTATTTCTAAACCCACCACAGTTAATCCCAGACTTACTCATATTTGCTCTGTGCAAGGTAGCAGAATGCATGATCCATTTATAACTAGCAACTGAGCCAAAAAACTGTCAAGTTATGAGCAGTTAATTAGTCTGCCAATCAAAGTCAGGGTTGGTTCACTGTTGTTGTACATAACAACAGAGTTGCAGTGTTGCAATAATCAATGTGTTTTGTCGTTCGAAGAATGTTCCTTAACTCTTTGTCTTGGGGACCTGCCCATTCATTGCTGTCATGTATAAATCTAGGAAAAGGATAGTCTTGGGTAGTTGCCTTTGGACTTGGTATACAGCTTTGAGAAAGATTTAACCAGGAAGAATTGTGAGTAGATTTAACAAATAATTAACATATTCGTATATTCCTATACTTATATATAGGTTATGTATTCAGATATGTTAAACTGAAGCCACTTTAATTCAACTCTGTGTATTAAAGGCAATAAGTACAATATTATTTTAAAGTATTTTTATGGTTACGTTTTGGTTGCAAGAATAATACACAATGTTTATATTATCGAATACTATACAATACATTTGAATGCATTTTATGTACGGTATTTACAGTAATATTTTATATTTCACATTACAATGCATGCCAATTATGGGGGGGACGCAATATTATTCACTATTCTACATAAAAAAAACTCTAATCAAAGCTTTGAGCTAATATATTTAGATATCTAGTTAGTACTGAACACTGTCCACATGGTTGTGAATCATCCAGAGTAACCAGAACATTGTTTATGGAAAATGCAGTGCTTGAATTGTGGTATTTATTTACCTCAGAATCAAAAATACTTTTTGATCCGGGGGGGAGAGGATTTTAGTATCATTTAAATAATTTTGCCTTGTTTCTTTAAACCAAACAGACACCAGCTTCAGCTACTTAACTGGAATTTCCCTAACATAAGATGGCGTCATCAGCATTCGGTAAGTCTAGTAAGAACATGAGGTGTGACTCATAGAGTTGTAATTAGCTATCAATTCTGAAGCGCTACAGAGTAAGCCCTGTTTTCAGCAGGCAGCTGTTTTCAGCTTCAGAGGTATCCAAGAAACGAAAATATTGTATAAGCTCAAGAATAACAGAAATAGAGATCTCTGAATGTCATACTGCATTAAAGGACCTTTAATTTAAAACAATTCCCACATTAATACGGAAAGAACTATGGGGCCATTACTGTAGCAAAACTATTTACAAATGTGAGTGGAGAGTTGTGTAACTGTATCTCATCCGTGTGTGCGTAATCAGATTTGTAAATGTGTAAAATAATTATAAATACCTACTGAGATTTGTGAATATGTAGAGGAATCTGCAAATAATGTGTTCAGAATCTGTGCATGTAAATGTGGAAAAAATATCTACAAATCTGTAAATGCATAAATTAATCTGTAAATTTGTAGACAAATCTGCAAATGCAGATATACATATTAATGGGTAAAAACTGTTTGTTCCAAAAGCTCGAAATACAGAAAAGTCATCAGTCAGGCTTCACAATTTTGAGTGCAAAAAATATTTTTTAAACCTTTTTGAGAATTAGGTTGGAAGAACGATCAAACGGCCAAAAATAGTATTTTTAGGGGCGGGGCCTCACTGATTACAGTACAAAAACACAACGCTAAACTTTATTCACAACCTCGCTGTAAATCACCTCAGTACTATACTCCCTGTTGTTAAACTGTCTCCGTTGGTCTCAGAGACAGTTTGGTCCCTGTGTTCATTTTGTTTCTACTGTAAGTTACTTTTGCCCTCAAGCCTTTCTTTAGACAGTGGGCGTGGCTAATGAGGCAGTGGCACACACAAATAGCCAAACGCATTTGCAGATCTCTGAAACTGCAGAAGGGTAGCAAAAGTCACTTGTAAAAAGTCAACTGAAAGGCCTCAATGCCCCCTGAACTGTAACTGATTAATTGTCTGTATTTGCAGCTCTTAGAGCAAATACTTGGACTTTTCAGCCATTAATATGTCTGCATTCACAGATTTGTGTACCCATTTACAGATTTGTCCACCCATCCTTCGTGGAATTCTGGAAATTTGTTAATTATTTGCCTCTTTCCTCTCTTGTTTTACAGTATCTGAACTCAGGATTGTGATGTTTGGAAAAAGTCAGAAAGAACAGATAACATTAAGGAACTTCATCACTGGAAGAGAAGAATGTTCTCATCAAAGTATGTCCAAGCAATTTGCGCATATCCACAGTGATTGGAGAAAAAAACCCTTCACAGTAGTGAAAACAGCAGATGTCTTCAGTCTGCCTGTGAATCAAGTGAAATACGAGATAAAGAGGTGTGTGGCCCAATGTCCGCCTGGACCAAATGTTCTGCTGCTCTTAGTAAAGCCCTCTGATTTCAATGAACAGGACAGACAAAAATTTCAGTTCATCATGAGCCTCTTTGGAAAAGATGCTTTTAAATGCTTGATGATTATCATAACACAAAATGACAGAGGGGGGAATTCCTTAGTGAACCAACTCATCCAAGACTGCAAACAAAGGCAGCACAGAATCAATTTGGAAGAACAATATTTTCCTGACTATGATTTTCAAGAATTGATGAAAAAAATGGAAAACATAGTGAGTGAAAACAGGGGACAGCATTTAACCTTTACTGAAGAGACTGAGCCCATTGTAGCATCTGAAAGTCCAAAACCCCGTCTAAACTTGGTATTGTGCGGGAGACATGAAGCCTTGAAGAATTCAGCAGCTAATTCCATTCTGGGAGTAAGAAAGTTTGGTCCACCTGCTGACCCAACAGAGTGTGTTAAAAATGAGGCAGAAGTGTGTGGATGGTGGGTTTCCCTGGTGAAGCTGCCTGCCTTGTATGGAAAACCTGGGGAGACAGCAATGAGGGAATCATCCAAATGCATCTCTCTCTGTGATCCTGAGGGTGTCAATGCCTTTGTCCAGGTCCTACCTTTAGATCCTCCAAGTGAGGAAGACAAGAAAGAGATAGAGACCATGCGTAACACACTCAGCTCTAGAGTCAATAATTTCATCATGATTCTGTTTACTGCAGAGGAAAATCCTAACTATTCTGTGGCAGTGAGGTTTCTACAGGAAAACAGAGACAGCCAGCAGCTCTTGCAGAGCTGTGGTGGACGACATGTTGTCTTTAACATCAAGGACAAGCAGCAAGTCTCTGAGGTGTTACATACTGTGGAAAAGATGAGAGTTGCGGGATGCAGAGGCTTCACAAGAGAGATGTTTCCTAAGCCTCGAATCCCGACACGTTCTCTTACAAGACATGTCTCTTTAATAGAGAGGGAAGGGTATCAGAATAAACACTTTCACAGGATGATGCAAAACAGACAGTCTGTCAGGATGGAGCCAAGTAGACAGCCTGTCAGGTTGGTGCAGAGCAGACAGTGTCTCAGGGTGGTGCAGAGCAGACAGTGTCTCAGGGTGGTGCAGAGCAGGCAAAGTCTCAGGATGGTGCTCATTGGGAAGACTGGTTGTGGAAAGAGTGCCACTGGAAACACTATTTTGGGCAGAGAATGTTTCAGTTCTAAAGCTTGTCAAAAATCAGTGACCAAACTTTGCCAAAAAGAAGCGGGAGAGATTGATGGGCAGTCTGTGGTTGTGGTGGACACCCCCGGCTTGTTCGACACAGCTCTGTCCAGCAAGGAAGTTCAACAGGAGCTTATGAAATGCATCAGCTTGTTGGCTCCTGGGCCTCATGCGTTCTTACTAGTGCTGCAGATCGGCCGCTTTACACAGGAGGAAAAAGACACCGTGGAGCTTATCAAGACATTTTTTGGCAAGAAGTCAGAAGACTTCATCATTGTAATATTCACCAGAGGAGATGACCTTAAAAAACTGAGTATTGAGAGTTACATAGAGGAAGACACAGAGGGCTTTGTCAAAAAACTGACAACTGAATGTGGAGGAAGATACCAGGTCTTCAATAACAATAATCAGAAGAATCGTTCTCAAGTGAGCCAGCTGCTGACCCAGGTTGAGTCAATGGTGAGGAAAAATGGCAGTGGCTACTACACCTCAGAGATATTCAGCGAGGCAGAAGCAGCCATACAGAAGGAAACAGAAAATATCATGAAGGAGAAAGAAGCAAAGATACAGAGGGAGCAGAAGGAGCTTGAAAGAAAACATCAAGTATATGTGCAGAAAGAAAAATTGACAGACCTAATATCCAAATTTGACCAAGATGAGACAGCCAAACTAATTAAAGAAAAGGAACACATAGAGAAGGAGGAAGAAAAGATGAAGAGAGAAAAAGAAAAGAGAGAAGAAGAGAAAAAAAACAAGAAAAGGCAGGAGGAAATGAAACGACACGAGTGGGAACAAAAACTTGAAAATGTGGACAAAAAATTAAAATATGGAATAGAAAAAAGGGCAACTGCTGACAGGATGTTATTAAAACAAAGTAGAGAAGACATTAAAAAAGAACGAGAGGCTTGGGAGCAGGAAAGAAAGGAATGGTGGGAGAAACGATATCGAGAAGATCAACAGAGACGAGAGGAGGAGCAAACCAGACTTAAAAAGCTCCAGGAAGAATATCAGCAGGAATTAGAAAGATACGAAAACAAAAGAAAAGAAGATAGACTCAGAAGAGAACTGGAGGAAATAAGGAGAAAAAATGAAGAAGCGGCCAGAAGACAAGCGGAAGAATGCAACGAATTTGACATATATACCAATGACGTTTCAGACGAGATGGAAAGGTATATTAAGGAAACGGAGGATCTGAAGCAGAGGCAACAAAAACAAAATGACGGGATAATAGAACAACTGAGCAGAAATAAAGCATACCAAAGGGACTTTGAGAAATTGAAGAAAAAACAAGAACAAGAAATTAAGCTTAAATTGGCACAATTTGACAACAAAGAAGATGCAAACAAAGAAATCAGTGAGCTAATGAAAACACATGAGGAGGAAAAAAATCACTGGATACAGGAACATGTGAAAAAAGCCACAAAGGCCTGTTGCATTTTATGAGACGTTTCATTTTTTGGCATAGTTTCAGCTGCAAAACTATGAACTTGTGATTGTAATATGATTTAGTTTGTTTTTAATGACTTGGTATGTACTGTATAGTTGACCTATATGTGTTCAAATACCACTACTATATTTAACCAGTGCCTGATGTATAACAATATGATAAATAATGTTTGTGAACAGTTAGAAATTCTCCAAATGGCCACTGTACTTCAGCACGAAACTTCCATAACTTAAATTGTTTATAATAGCTGATTTAGTTCAACTTTGTGCATTTTCATTAGCTGCAAAGTTCAATGTCTGTGTGTAACAGACAGCATGTTAGTACTCAAAACCTCCCTATATTGTCTCTCTTTTGAAGTCAAACAAACTCTGTAGACTGACATTTAACTATTTTACTACATTCAAGTTATATTTTTATTTTAACACACATATAAGCAATATTACAGCATGTATCTAAGTGTAAAATAGTGAAACCTGATGACAGAAGCAAATAAATTAATGTACAAAGGATATAATCAATCAATCATATTTTTGATTTAAAAGTAAATGATTATTATCTCATCTAATTAACATTAATAACATGTATATAAATGTATATTTTTTTAATTCTTTGGTTCAGTTTGGTTAACATTGTATTCATCATATTTTATGTAAAGTAAAATGACTTAATTTAGAAAGTTTCTCCTCTGCACAATCTGCATATATATTCTCTATATTCTCTTGTTTTTTGTTAATTTACTTTTTATGCTATTTTAAAAATGTATATAGATGAATAAAGTATATGAATCATTACATTTTGGTGTAACTTTTTTCCTTGTACAGCTGATGCATGTTCAATAAGGATGTTCTACTATGATAGAACTGTCTTTACGGAGGTAGCCATCTACTTAAAAAAATCATTCAAAATTAAATTCAAATGAAAAGGTGACTGTTCTGTATGATTGCTTACTGTATGTACTTGGCAATGTTTTGAAAAAAATCTACATAGACCTACAGATGAAGGTCTATATTAAATGACTTCAATATAATGTGACTGTTTAGAGAAAGGCAGCATATTCTTAATAAATATCCCCCACCGCTTGACTTTATCTCAGTACCCTCAGAACTAGTGAACGCTTGCAAAATAATACTTACTATCAACACCACTGATCTGGTGCATTCATAATTTCTCAACACAAGCCAAATCTGGCTTTTTACTGCCCTCTCCACTCTCGTCAACAACAAGCTCACCAAGCAAGACTAGCAGCAGTTTTGTGTATATTATGTCACTGGGGTGGAAACACAGTGTCATCAAAAACTATATTCATGAAACAATGGTCTCCAATGTGTTTTTCTGATGCTAGACAAAACTTCTAAAATAATTTTCTAATTTGCTGATTGGTGTTTTAAACCATATTCAACATTTAAAATAAATAAATAAATATGGCAAACTTTAGCTTACTTCTCAGCGTGGAAGAACTGGCTTTAATATGTGTTTATATTTGAAAGACTGTCCTTTTGTTGATTTAAAGACTTAAATCTTAATCATGGAAGGTGCAAATTGCTGCAGTTACTTCCTAAGAAGAACATCTCTGCTGCCACAGTTGACTTATTTACTGTAGCGTGAAAGTGTCAGATGACATCATGGTTCAATGTTTTATCCTCTTTACGTGTGGGCTGAGCATCTGAACATCCTGCTGTGGACAGGTTTTACCTGTTTCCTTATTTACAGTCAGCACTGTGCAGTGCAGCCAACTTTGCTAGACAGCAGTACCAACTGTGTGCTCCAACTCTTAAGAAAACTGTTGCCTCAAACTGCAGTTTAGTTAGGATGTTGTTCTGTTTCATTGTTCATACTCATATTTACCAGCCACTGTTGACTCATTATATTGACTCCGAGAGGTAACAGATCAATGTAGTTAGCTTCCTATAACTTATACAATCCAAGCCTTAAAAACGTGAAGTCATGATCAGTCTGTCAACCATGGCAGCTGTCAAGGGTTTTAATCGCTCGTTTCTCCTGGACACAATGTCTGATAAGTATTCTCTATTTTAAGCATAGTCCATGAGTTTGCTTTACAGAAATACTATACTATTAAATTATTATTATTGAAATTTTAGTTTAGTTTGGCTTAATCCAATGTTTGAGACCACAACCCACTGCTCCTGGTATCATTAACTATGATGACCATTTTATCATAGACAAGTAAGTAAATTAAGTGAATTGCTGATGACCAGCAAGTTAGAAATTATTTCATTTACTAGCGCTGTCAGTAAACGCAAACCCCTTTTAACGGCGTCAATTTTTTAGCGCGAGATTAACGTTCTTTTGGCCTAGCACACTTTGTAGTTTTTTTCACATGCTGTTGCAACAACTAGTAACGTTAGAAAAACTACACCACCACACTGGACCTAGCTAGACCGGAAACAAAACAACAGGCATGCCGTACACACTTATTTAAGAGTAGTAGACGTTGCGTTTTGAGTGGATGGCGAGCGTGAGACGCCGAAATGGATGCCAATAATATTCTGAATGGAAAGTTTACTTTTAAAAAATTGCCAAATGGTTCCATTGACAAGTATTTTTTTCACCCTTTCATTGGTGGACAGTGTTACATTGTGTGAGAGATTATTTGCTCCAAGTGTGAATGACTGCTCCAAGTGAATGAACAATGTTAGAATGTTAGTGTGAAATTGAACACTACAGTATATGCCAATGTTGTTTGCAATAAAAGAAAACATTTGCACAAAGCAAGCCGATCCACTTTTCTATGTTGATAAGAGCATTAAAATGAGAAAAAATAATGGGACAAAAAGAAATCAAGGGACAATTAGAATAGATAAAAATGTGCGATTAATTGCCATTTATCGCGATTAAATATTTAAATCGTTTGACAGCACTACCATTTACCTATTGTAATGTAACTATTAATGGAACATAAGGCAGCTCAATTAATCGAAATTTGATCATGATTACGATTTTGGGGCCAAACGATCTCAAAACTAATAAAATCGGGGGGAAACGATTTTCTTTTCATTCTCTGTTGTGCAACGTTGTATAGAAAAAAGCGGTGCCCCTGAATTGGGACACAGCCACAGTCTGCATATTTCGCGCATGCGTATTTCAGTTAGTCACGTTGTTTTCGTTGGAACAGGTACGCGTAACAGTAACAGGTAATCAGTGTTTCCTCTAGGATTTTTTTTTAGCAGTGGGGGCAGGCCCATCCGACCAAATGTAAACACTGTCTGTGCAAAATAAGAGAACAACTTCAACTTAAGGTATGGAAAAAGTGCCAATATGGCACTGCCATATTTATTATTTTTTAGAGTTTTTAACTCTTTTAAACTTTTTTAAGTTTTTTAACTGTGTGGTTGTTTTCGGTGTCGGCTGTTGCTTCTTTTCATCACTTTGCTGCACAAATGTAGCGTGTAACTCTTAACTTCTTGAGGTGGGTTAAATTTGATGTATTAAAGGAAGACGCCTTGTTTCCTCCTCGCATAACCAACGCTTTGCAGTCATTGCAAATTGCAAATTTACAATTTGTAGGACACACTTTGAAATAGTTCCAAACCACAGACATCTCATGCACCGGGCGAGCAAGCTTGTTAGCCATGGTTAGCAACCAACCAGTCTAGCTTGTCGTTGTTGTTCTTATACGTCATCAAGCACACGCCGGTAAACGTCCCATGCTGCGTTTATGCATATATGAATTATGCATAATTCCCGATATTACATTTTTTAGTGAATATCGGGCAATAATATCGGACGTCCAATATTATCGGACATCCCTAATTATAAGATCATTAAAGTAGCGAATCAGTTTCTGTAGCTGTCTTCAGTGTTTCAGGAGGTTTGGTCCATAATGAAAACTGCAGAGATCGTAAAGGCCATGTATTTTGCTTCTTTTACTTTTCTATAAAGTCACATCTATAACATAATCTGCTGAAATGTGCATCAAAATACTGCTACTAATGTGACTCAGCACATGGCTTTAAAAGGGAATGGAAATAGTTTCTGCTGCACACCTGGAAGGCTGAGCTGTATTCAAATGGCTGCAACTTGACCACTAGATGCTACTAAATCCTTCACACTGGTCCTTAAAAAAGGGCTCACAAGGTCAGTTTCAGTAACTTTTTGATTAATTGCCACACCCTAAGAGGTGTAGATAATTTATTTAGCCTAACATGTACATTTCAGTTTAGTTGTATTGTTTAATAACATATTTACCTGTGGCTGCACCCTGCTGTGTGACACATTTAATTTGCCTTGACGAGAAAGCAACTGTGTTCAGCCACGCCTATTCTAGTCTTCAGGGAAATTCCAAATCGACAGACAATTGGAGGCTCTCAGATTCAAGCTATCTCTTTCCCCAAACAAGTCATATTTCTCTGACGGAAAAATACCCAAGCCCAAGTTCTTATCCATCTGCTGATGTTATAGTAATGCACAGACACACATAATATTTAGTGCAATTCAACTTTGTTTAGGAGGTGTGTATGTTTTTTCAAGTGTTGTAAACTGCCGATTATGTCACTTTGCCTGTTGGTGTCATACGCTCAATCCTGGCTACCATAAATCTCCCCTCACATCTGTGAGTTATAAATCATGGGTAGTGGCATTTTCGTCTATTTCCACAAACTGCTTGTTGTGCCATGCCCTGTTCTGGGTTGTATCACTGTTGTCATGCCTATGTTGGGTCCGGCCCTGTCAACTCTTCTGACATAAAGGTTGTTCCAGGGGAGTTAATCTCATAATGGAGCTGGTACTTTGATGTCCTTTGATAAAGATTATACAGAAAGCCAAAATTCCACCTGGTGACTGAACAATGTAACAAATGAGAAAACAAAAATTACAATGAGAAATAAACTACAAACAAAAGAGCAACAGCAAAACCCCCCAGGTGAGAGCAGCAAGGAAATAGAGAAAATAAATGGCAGCTAGAAACCTTTTTTATTTTGAAATGTTTGCCTGACTTATTCAGTTTATACTGATGCTTATTTTACTCACCAACAGAAAGTTATTCATGTCTGTATCACAAGTCAATTAATTGCAATACTTTATGAAATTGCATTTAATAATTCAGCATTTAGGTATATAGAATTGAATGCACTTTAGTATACAGTATATGTATTGGGAAGTATCACACTAAAAATTAAGTTAAATTGAAGCTAACTGCAAAGGTGAAGCACACGTCCTTTATTGGCAACCAAGGAATTCAGAATATATGGTGATATATGGTGGATTGGTAGTAGCTGCTGCAGCCATAGGGCTAAGTGGTAATAAAATCACAAATTATTTTACCAGTACTACCTGTACCAAGACATTGTACACTGTGTATCCTGTATGTGTTTCATGTCTTTGTGCATATGTGTATGCAAATTTGGTTGTAAATATAGTTTGAGTAAGTGTGCATGTCTATAGAGAAACATGAAGAATGTGAGATGACTGGTCTCAACTCCCAAAGATAAAATACATTTTTCTAAAGATGTGATAATACCCCCTTCTCAACTGACAAAATGTTTGATACTTGCTAGATAAGATCAGAGATGGGAGGTCCCACATAGAGAGACAAAGATATGCTGAGGGTGTTGAAACATTACTTTTGCTTTAATAAAAGAAGTAACTGGAATAACATGTTGAGAGATGAAGATAGACAGAGAGGAAGAGATAAAAGATAAATGTCACAAGAAGGTCACATGTCTCTAACTAGTCTAGTCAAGTTTCAGTCGACTAAAAGTCTGAGAATTATAGTCATATTTTAGTCAGAATTATCCATGACTATTTTCGTCTAGTTTTAGTCGACAAAAACTGATGACATTTTAGTGTAGTTTTAGTCAATGAAAATTGTATTTTAGTCTCTTTTTAGTAATGCAATTCTATTTAACCCAGTTAATATAGTACAAGTACCTAGTATAGTATAGACAAAACCAAAAGTTTCTTTAAGTCACCCATTTCACAAGTCAAACAAGGTTATCTTATTATTATATTATTGTTACCTTATAGACTCAAGAATACGTTCAATCCCAGACACGGAAGACGCTCTGATTTAAATTAACAACATATTTATTTTACATACCAAACATGTAAGAAGTAGTACACACACATACATTTTAATAAAATAAACAAATAAAATAGCTTCAAATGACAATGCCGGAAAAAATTTATATCACATTCAAGTTTAACTTAAAGAGAAACAAGGTGCTTGAATGCTGGAGCTACAATGACATAATAAAAAAGTGCAAATAAAATGTGTGTGTCTGTGACTAACGTTAACCCACCACAGCTGCATCTTCTAAATGATGCCGCGAGTGTCTCGTTAAGACAGTGTAACTACGGCGGTGGCGGTGGCCCGTGGGGTGGTAGCAGTGTACGCCTATATCGTATTTGTGTTGTAATAGGTTAGGTTGTAGTAGGTTATTCTAGGTCATTTTCCACCATTTTAGTGTTTATTTACTACTTTAATCTGCTCCCTTTCTCTTCTCCCCACACTCACACAGCACACACACCTAGCCTGGACCTCTGGTCACTCACGGCAAACACGCCCGCTTGCTCCGCCTCTTTCTGTCTCTCTCTCCCTGTGTGTGTCTCTGCTGACTTTCTCCATCAACAGTACATTTCTTAAACTCACCCGTGATTCAGTTTTCAAGTGCGCCGCATGTGGGTCCAAACCAAAACTAACTTTAGTGAGTGACATCTGCAGTGGTGCGTTCACTGACGCTCCGTAATGTAAGATTTCTGCCGTATACGCATCTCTCTCTCTGTTTCTCAGCAAAATGGGGAAATGGGGAAAACCGCGGTATGAACCGAACCGTGGCTCAAAATTCGAGGTTTGAACCGAACTGTGGATTTGGTGAATCATTACACCCCTATGCATTATATATGACGATATTTAGTCATAATTTTCGTTGACGAAAGCAACACTCTACACGCACACAGGTTGTCAGTCTTATGCCAGTATTGATTATATTTGGGATTTGACATTTACAAGGAACATGAGAAACCTGGTTATTCAGCTCCCTGTACACAATCCCAACATGTTCCAGCTTTTTAATCTGTTGGATTCATTAGTCATGGAAGGTGACAGAGAAGAAAAATAAAATGTATCCTCTGCTCGCTCAGACTCACTACATAATTTATAATTAGAAACTTTTGTTTTACTTACCACCTGTGCAAAAGGACATACCTGTGCAGACAGCAGACAGTGATCAGATACCTTTATAAGGTCTTCAAATGCCACAATGCTCCACCTAGCAAACACTGGATGAATAAAACAAGTGCTTATTCAGGTTTCTGAAACCATGCAAATAAATGTAACACGCTCATATTTAAACTAACACTCACCACAGTTGATCCCACAGTTTTAACTTTATTTGCTTTCTGTAAGATAGCAGACTGATAGTGAGATATTAAAGCATCATGCGTCATGAGGAGCCATCAACCAGTCAGACAGGCAACCAACCATGACTGTTTCATTGTTGTCACACCTGAACAAAGCCCAGCCCTAGTTCTGGAGGTAGAAAGGTTGTCTCAGGTGAGCCGATTTCAGTGTGGAGTTTTTACTTTCATTCTTAAAAAGCCCTTTTCGTCCCCTCTCTCTCTACCCCCTTTTCCTGTCACTATCAATTAAAGGCAATAACCCCCCCCCCCCAAAAAAACTAAAATATTTGTTGGGGAAAAATGTCTTATTCTGTGAATTCTGAATTAGTGCACCTACCGACTCCTACAAGTCCTCATACCTTCATGACAAATTTGGTCATTGGCAATTGCCTTCCAAAGGACCCTTATGACCACTGCAAAAATGACTGTTATGAGTGTGCTTTTATCTGCCACTACTATGATTATGGTCCAATTTATAGAGATGGTAAAATAAATAATTATTTGATTCACATAAGAGTTGCAATTCTAATCTTCAACAATTCTGAATCGATTCACAGAATTCGATGTTGATTTTTTTTTTTACGATGTAAATAGCATGTTGATGGAATAAATAAATGTGCAACTCTTCTCTGTTTATTTTGGTTCATTACACAGTGACCACAGTACAAATTTCTGGATTAACAACTAGTGGACAGTCTACTGAAAGTCACACTGTTCTGCAGAGACACAGAAACAGACCCTCTCTGGCGCAGATACAGTGTTTATTTTACCAGCGTTTGCCAGGTAAAGCAAGACTGAACGGCAGTGAACACCAGCTTGGTTTTGTTACCATGTTGTTACCGATTATTTTGATAGGCTACGTCATTAACAACAAGCCTCCGCCACCCAGTTCACCTGCTGTTGTCAAAATGGAATCACAGGTGAAAATCCCAAACGCAAGTTGTGCTTTTTGGGCAACTTTATAAACTTAACTATAAACAACTTGGTCTCTGGTGTCAACTTCAGACACTTGTAAAACTAACAATTGGTTATCCCTAAGCTCTGGTCCACACTGCCTGTCATCAACACTACTTCTGTCTTTGCCTCTGAGAAGGGACAGTCACTACCCCAGACTAAGTAGTTGATTTCAGTCAACCAACTCACATGAAATTAATTGTGTGAACTATGTGAACACCACCAATGTGTTGACCAGGCAATGGCCATCTGGCCATAAGGAGAATATACCATTTAGTGAACATTTTCTATGTGTGGGCCAAGACAGTTGTCGTGACTTTAATTGAGTTTAAACATCTGCAAACCAATGCAAACAACAGTAATTACAGACCTAGATAGCGTCTTTACATGTCCTATTAACATACTGGTTTCTTAAAACAAATGAGGGATAAATGAGGGTGTACAACGCAACACAAATTGAAGATAAAACCCACCACAGGTGATCCCAGACTAGATTTTTTGTAAGGTAGAAGACTGATAGTGAATCTGATATAGTGACTTTGCATTCTTTATGCTCAGTTGCATCTTAGCATAACGAATGCAAAGCAAATATATCAGTCTGTCAATCAACCCTGGCTTTGGCGTTGTCGTCATACCTGCCCTGCCTACCAATTCTGGTGATAAAAAGGTGGTCTCGGGTAAGCTGATCTCAGTATGGATCTGTTACTTCCCACCATGAGCTTTCAGGAAGAGTGACACAGGTGAGTACACTGAACAGAAAGTAAATGAAACAAATATATTGAATCTGTATATGTATTATAAAAGAAGACTGCATCAACAAATTGTTTACTTGTAACTGTTTGTGGATAACCCTCAGGTGTGTGTCAACTGTGCAGTCCTGGTGATTAGACGGATGAGCATCACAGTTTCTAGTTGTCAGTGTGAGTACAGGATTTTGTAGATACACACTGTATGCTTTCAATCAAAACTTCTACAAATACAATTTCATAGGATATTGTCATATTCTATGAAATTGTTTTAATAAAATCATATTTAGGGTATAGTCATAAGTCCTCTCTCTTGCCAAGTTGAACTGCCATGTTTCTACAGTAGCACAGAACAGACAAACCAAACACTGTAGCATTGTAATGGGCGTTGTAATCAACAAATACACTGATTTAACTAAAGGTTTACAGTAATTACATTTTATAAATTATACTTTTACTTGGATATTTACATGGAAATACCAGACTAATGGAAAAATATTATATATATATTTCCTACAGAACCTCTTGCCATGAGGTTTACGTTCTATGATTATCTGTTGAAAATCATTAATTGTATGAAAACTTTGCTTTCGTTTCTTAAAATCCAACAGACACCAACAGCTTGTCTTGAATTTCTCTCTGACGAGTTTCCATCAAAGTGACATCATGGCATCATCTGCAGCACATGGTAAGTCTAGTGAAAATGATCAATATAGATGTCACAGATACCGTGAGAATGCAACCAACAAAAAGAAATGAGGAACTAAGGAGGAAGAAAAGACATCTAAATGTACGGAGATCTCGGCAACAACGGAAGATTTTCTACAGTTTCTTAACTAAGAAACACAAACTGAGAATCTGAAGAATCCTAAAACCATCCATCCTTTCTGTATTAGTCATTTGATTATTTACTGGTACTGTGACCTAGAATGACAGGGACAGGTGACACTGAAAAGTATCCTTGTATATAAAATATCAACCATTAAAAGAGACTGATGCATTCACTTTTGAACTGGTGCAACTAATATCGGTCTTAGTTTTTAAATCCATGTTGTTGATTTCGAATGAACATGCTCTTAACGACTCACAATCATAGCGAAAGTTGGGGCTGGAAATTTAAGACTAAATGAGAATCAAAATTTAATGTCAAACTAACCTGCTAACTATGTAATGCATGAATTATTGAAATAAATAGGCGCCACGTCAAGTGGAAATTTGTAATGTTTTCTGTTGTTGTTTTACAGCATCGGAACTCAGGATTGTGGTCATTGGAAAGAGCCAGAATAAAAAGACAATACTAACCAACTATATGACAGGGAAAAAAGACTTTCTTTTTCTGAAAATGTCCACGCAATGTACAGTCGCTACTGGACAGTGCAAGAAAATACCTTTAACAGTAGTGAAAACCTCAGATGTCTTCAGCCTGCCTGAGGATAAAGTGAGACACGAGATGAAAAAGTGTGTCGCTCTTTGTCCTCCTGGACCCAATGTTCTCCTGCTGTTAGCGAAGCCATCTGATTTCAGCGAAGATGACAGACAAAAGTTAAAGTTCATTCTGAGCTTTTTTGGTCAAGATGCCTTTAAATACTCAATGGTCATCTTTACACATAACGAAGAGGGAAAGAATTCAGCAGTCGATAAACTCATACGAGACTGCAGACAAAGGCAGCACAGAGTTAACTTTGATAGAAAAGATCTTTCAGAATCTGATCTTGAAGAACTCATCAAAAAGATGGAGACCATAGTGAATGACAACAAAGGAGCACATCTAAACTGCACTGAAGGGGCTCATCACATGACAGTACCTGTAACTTCCAAACGTCCTCTGAACTTAGTGTTGTGTGGGAGACATGGAACCTGGAAGACTTTGGCAGCTAATGCCATTCTAGGAAAACCAAAGTTTGGTCCACCTGCTGCGTCAGAGTGTGTTAAAAATCAGGGAGAGGTGTGTGGACGTCAGGTTTCCACGGTGGAGCTGCCTGCCTTGTATGGAAAATGTCAGGAGGCACTAAAACAACATGTATTTAGGTGTCTCTCCCTCTGTGATCCTGAAGGTGTCCATGCTTTCATCCTGGTCCTACCTGTAGGTCCCCTCACTAATGAAGACAAGGGTGAGTTGGAGACCATCAAGAGCACATTCACCTCTAGAGTGAATGACTTCACCATGATTCTGTTCACTGCGGAGTCAGATCCTAATTCTCCAGCTGTTGTTAATTACATAAAAAGTGACAGAGACATCCAGCATCTCTGTCAGAGCTGTGGTGGACGATACATTGTCTTCAACATCAAGGACAAACAGCAGGTCTCTGAGGTGTTGCATACTGTGGAGAAGATGACATTGGAAGGATCCAGATGCTTCACAAAACAAATGATCGTCAAGCCTCGAGAGAAAAAGGGTACAGGTTGTAAATCTGAACAGAAGATGGCAGGTTATCAACCTCAGAGCAGAGAGAGTCTCAGGATGGTGCTGATTGGGAAGACTGGTTGCGGAAAGAGTGCCACGGCAAACACCATTTTGGGCAGAGAATGCTTCACATCTAGAACCAGCATGAAGTCAGTGACCAGGCTTTGCCAGAAAGAAACAGGAGAGATTGATGGCCGGCCTGTTGCTGTGGTCGACACACCCGGTTTGTATGACACGTCTCTGTCCAATGATGAAGTTAAAGAGGAGCTTGTGAAATGCATCAGCTTGTTGGCTCCTGGACCTCATGTGTTTTTATTGGTGGTGCAGATCGGCCGCTTTACACAGGAGGAAAAAAACACTGTGGAGCTTATCAAGGAGATCTTTGGCAAGAAGTCAGGACATTTCATCATTGTTATATTCACCAGAGGAGATGAGCTTGAAAATCAAACAATTGAGAGTTACATGGAAGAAGAGAGTGATGACTTTGTCAAAAAACTGCTCGCTGACTGTGGAGGAAGATACCAGGTGTTCAATAACAGAAATCGGAAGAATAATGAACAAGTCAGAAAGCTGTTGAACAAAATAAAAGCAATGGGGGAGAAAAATGGTGGCAGCTACTACACCACAGAGATGTTTCAAGAAGCTGAGGCAGCCATACAAAAGGAAGTACAGAGGATCTTGAAACAGAAAGAAGAAGAGATGCAGAGAGAGAAGGAGGAACTACAAAGAAAACATGACGAAGAAATTCAAGCGAAGAAGAAAAAAATTAACAAAGAAAGAGCAGAGAGAGACAAAGCACTGAAGGAAAAGGAGGAGTACATTAACAAAGAACATGAAAAAAGAAAGAGAGAAGAGGAAAGGCGAGAAGAAGAGAACAGGGATTCAAAAATATATGAAGAACTTGAGCGACAGCAGTGGGAACAAAAACTTCAAAATCTAGAGAAAAAAATCCAGTCTGAATCAGACAAAAACACAAATGCTGACAAAAAGCTGATGCAAAACAGAGAAGAGATGAGACAAGAACGAGAGGCTTGGGAGAAAGAACGAAAAGAATGGTGGGAGACACGACATCGAGAAGATCAACAGAGACAAGAGGAAGAGCAAACCCGACTGAAAAAGCTCAGAGAAGAATATCAGCAGGAAAGAAATGAATATGAAAACAAACGAAAAGAAGATAGACTCAGAAGAGAACTAGAGGAAAGAGAATGGAGGAAAGTACAAGAAAACTATGAGAAAAGAGAGCAAGAAATCAAGAAGAAAAATGCAGAAGAGGCCAGAAAGCAAGCTGAAGAATTCAATGAGTTCAGACTCAAATACTCAGCAGACTTTGTAGCTCTGATGGAAAAGCATGACAAGGAAATGGAGGACATGAAGCAAAAGCAACAAAAAAACAATGACCTAATGCTGAGACACTTGCTCACAAACAAAATGTATCAGAAAGAGTTTGAGAGGCTGAAGAAGAAACAAGAACAAGAAATGAATGAGCTTCAACTGAATTACTCTGAAGAAAATGCAGAAGATCTGGATGAAGCAATCAGTGAACTACAGAAAAAACATGATGAAGAAGTCAATGTCTGGGTACAAGAGCATGCGGAGAAAGCCACAGCAGATAAGGCTTGCAGCATTTTATGAAATGCTGTCTGTTATCTAAATGTCACAAACATGATTTAGTTGTCCAACTGTGAGAGCTTTTGGTTTTGAAGACTTCACTGTTTTCCTGTTGAACTACATTTTTACATTTACAGTACATTTTCTGTCTTTTGATTATGTACACTTGATGCTTTTATGCAGTCCTTCATATACATCTCTATATCTATATTTCTAACCAAGGTTTGACATAAACATATTGTATTTTAGTAAGAAAAACTTTCAGATAAGCCTGACCTGAAAAGTGTGCCACTTTAAATAATCTTTTTCCTTTGGAAGTTAAAGAAAACTGACATTTACTTGTTTTCTTTTTCCCTTATAATACACAAGAAACTAAATGACTAATCATAAAAATATCAGTGAAACCTGACTACATGACAGTAGTCACTAGTAAAGCATGTAACATGCTTTAAGAGATCATTAAGTATTTAAATCATGTACATGTAATTTTTTTTTTCTAAATAATAATACCTTTCAGTCTCACAGAGTTAATATCATGTGTTTTTTTCTTTGGTTCTGTTGTGTTCAAGACTAATACTGTCTGTGTCTTGTTTGATTTTATTTTAATTTTATGTAAAATGAAATTATTTCCCCATCCATTTAGAATTTGTTTTACCTGATCAATCTGGAAATATAATCTCTTGTTTCTTGTTTATGCAAATAAACGGATCAAATAAAACTGAACAACAGTGTACATGGTGTTTCAATGGTTGCCTGATAGAAATTAGGTCTTAACTTTTTTCTTATAGAGCTGATGTATGTCAATTTATAACCATCTTCTATTATGAGCAAGTTGCTTACAGGGAGTGTAGTATTTGTAGAGATACCACTAAATTACATTTTTTGTCTCTTTTTTTCCACTTCATGTTTTGAACAGAAACCAAGTGTCCATTTAATCTTTCATAATGATTATTACCGATCCGATGTGAGATCATTATCAATATTGACACAATACTATGATTCAAATTTATCTGTACAGATTTTAGATACAGCAACTGCCCAGAAACAGCTGTAGATGCTATGTTCTTATTTAAAACCCAAAGTTAATGACATTCAAAGTTGTTTTTGTATAATTGGTAGTTACTTTGATTGAGTTTACTTTTGTTACTGTACCAATAAACCAACATACCTGTAAAGTATATTCACTATCATTGCTTGTTACATTATGAAAAATAGTTCGGTAGTGAGTGCAAAGACCTAGCTTTCATTTCCATCTTTTGTTTAAATCGAAGACTAAAGCCTTTATTTGGAATCTAAATGGAGAAAAAAGGACTGTTGACTGACTCTTGAAACGTTGGAATATTTATGTCCAGTTTAGGTAGTGAATTAATCTAGTGGAATTTGCTGGGTAAAAATAGGGAACAGCAATATTAACACATACTTTATGCTACCAGCACATACTTTAACTACCAACGAAGAAGCTCCAACAAATCAACTGATGTATTCTGAAGATACCAAACGTGTATTATCACAGTTTCTTTATCTTAGTTATCAGCTGGTTTCGCCAGATTCCGAACTCACTGTCCTCTGGGCCCGATGTGATTCTGGAGTTGGTGCCCCCTAACCATAACCCGCCAACACAATGTATCATCTAAACAACATGTAACCATTAAATAACAACAAATTAAGCATCCCAACTGTTTCTAAGAGAGGTACTTCAACTCACAAATGCCAGCTCATCCTAAGGAAACAATGGAGACATGCCAAAACAGTTGACTCAGAGTGTCAGCAGAACTTATGCTAATGCCAGCTACAGTAATAACCATGAATGCATAATTAACCCCCATACTACAGCTGGAAACCACTCTCTATTGTAAGCATGATACCACTGCTGGGCCTACAAAATGCGCAAATGAACCATTGTTTTTTTCAGTGGTATGCGTTGATTAAAGTAGCGACAAGGGCATATCAAACTGAGGAAGTTGCATACCGTACCCAATGATTCGGGGCGAAAACATTACGCCCCCAGTGGTTGGGGTGTGACAGTGCTTTAATGTTTGAAATGTTTAACTACCACTCAGAGTCACCAAATTCAGAAGTTTTTAACCTTACTTTACTATATGACCAGATACAATACTTGTAAACATTTGTGTGTTTAGTGCAAAAACATATCATATAAAATAACTAAAAAAAGATACCTGATATAATTCATGAATTGAAATAAAGAAAAGGAAAGCACTGGATTGATTGATGTTTGATAACTGCTGTAGACGCTCTGAAATACTTTTGTAGGACAGACCATCACCCTCATCCCTGTCCTTCTCTGAGGGGGCCTAATGGTGACTCTGAAAATGTACTACTTGTCTAGTCTTGTGTGTTTCCATGGTATTTGGGTATTACATGGTATTGGTATACAGTACATGTATTTTTACACACTCCTGGTACACAAAATGTCAGTCAAAGAATTAGACTTGTTCTTACCTGTACTGTACAACCATCATGTTCTGCTCCCCACAGTGTCTGGCACAGCGGATGTACCTCATCCAGCTGGACTTACTGGGATCATTACCATCAATAAAGTGCTGTAACGTCCCTTCTGCATCATAGATCTGGAACACACAAATATACAAAGTCAGTCAGATGTACAGACAGAAGTGCTCTGCTCATTATTATTAATTAAGTACTGCAATGGCCTCTATGTCCTGCATAGCCGTCACCATTAAATGTTCACATTTGAGAGGCTGGAACTGGTAAGTGTTTGGCAATTTGTTTAATATCGACTTGAGCACAAATGAGCAGAATCAACAACTAGCCCAACAACCACCCTGACTCTTATTATATTTCAGTCATTAGACCACTACACATAAGATGTCTTAAATTTTTGTTGTTTTAAAAGGGATCCAAAAAGTATAAAGCTTAAGATATCCATTTAGAAGCTCAGAATTACCATAAAACATCCTATTTGATTCAATCTGTGTCTGATTCACCAGCTCACTGCGAGGCCTGTGCATTATGACTCAACCTGTGTATTTTTCAGGTTACAATCTTGCTCTGAACAAAAGAACAGGCAGATCGACATTAGACAGTCTCTCACTCTACCAATATATCATTTTTAAGTTATATTGTTTATAAAGGTTTCTCCATCTAAAAGCATTTCCAGGTCAAGTCAGTAAAACTGCCAAATTGTACCATCCTTGAATGTGTGTTTTTTTCTTTGTATATAGTTTATCCAAGAACTTACAGGTAATTTACTGTAATATTATAGTTTTAACAGATGGACTTATAGTAAAATCAGCTAATGTTATCAGTTGTTGGTATGCTAACAACCTGTCCAAAAAAATGGAAAATCAAATCAGACTTTTATTTATTGCAGGACATTATATGAGATATTATGAGCAGTATTAGGGAGCTGCTTTGTTACATTAAATACAAAGAAAACTGCGACACAACTGATTTTAATGGAGCTAACATTAAGCTAGTTAGCCAACACTGAGTTTTTAAAGTTAAATTACTTTACAGTAACTGAGAAACATAACACAGGTCTGTAGGAGAAGACAACAGGACAGGGGGTAGTTTACATTGGACTGACATTATTTTGACCACACATGCTCTTTAGAAGGTTACTAACCTGAAGAAAATCGAGGTAAATAAGATTAGCTAAAGGCAGCTAACCTAGCTAACGTTGGCTAACCCGTTATTCTCCGTCGACCCTTGTTTCCCTCAGGGAGGTAACGTTACTAACGTTACTACGTTACTACGTTACTACCATCTTGTGGTAAATACTGAGGCACACATTCAACTGTAGTGGTCCAAAATCGACACGCCAAGAATTATTTAACTGGTAATTAGTTCGAGTAGTTCAATGAAATCTATTTTCGAGTTGGAGGTAAAGCTAAGAAAGTAAAACTTATTAATACTCTCAAAGTATCCGTCTCAACCCGAACAAGAAAACTGCGGCCAAACGACACCTGACTTGTGTATCACTCCGCCGTGCTGAACAATCACAAAATTAACTGAAAGTAATGTACGCAGAGTTAAGTAGTTCTTCTTATAACCACTCTGACATTATAAACAATATACAGAATTATTTGTCCAGTATCACAATGAATATCAGTAAATTAATTATTTTTTATTTATACAGTATAGTGGCAGTTGCAGCTGACAATCATTTTTATTTCTGGATGTGAACCAACAGTTACTATTCTGTGCACAATAATTTCATAAAGTAATTATATTTTAATAGTGGCTTTTTTTTAAAATGGCCAACAGGTGACAAATAATCAATAAATAATATAATTCAATAATCAACCAATCTGTAATTAGTGTCCCTGTCAATACAAGTAATAAAATTAAAATAATTCACATCATTGAGAGAGCTGTGTATAGAAAACTAGGGCAAAGAAAGTGGGAGTTAAAATATCTTTAAAAGCAAGCCATATTTCATGTTTCATGTATTTTTGACTATGGTCTTCCTTAAATAATGTTTACTATATTTTACTACTGTATGCAACAAGGTATTTCCATTATCTTCATGCCAATTAAATAATTGACTGTGTTTTGGGAAACCTCAGACTCACACTGTCTGTCAGTGGTTAAAAGGATTATTAAGCTTGCTTTACATGGAATAATTTACATTTGTGATAAGGGAAAGCAAAAAGGACTGAATAAAAGTGGTTTATTCATGCATTTCCTGAAAACTTTTATCCTACACAACACCTCTATTGAGTTATTAATGTATTATTTTAAGTACCAAACATGACTTAAATCTGTATGAACAAACTCTGCATTTATTTATTTTTTAATGTAGGTTTTCTAATGCAATTTATTTCATAGAGCTACAGTCTGTTTTCTCTTTTCTGATTGTGTTTTGTGTGTCTGACTTCACTATAAAAACAGAAATTGGATATAAAAGCATTAGGATGCATTACCGATCTAAAAGAAAAAAGGGGAAGGCAGTCAGAGGCCTAAGTTAGGAGACGAGGAAGCTGCTAAGGATGTGCAGTCTCTTCTGCGTGTCATTGATCACATGAGAAAAGATATATAAACTATTACAGATAGATATATGTATAATAGAGAGAGTTGGGCCTTGGAATGAAGTCTGAGAGATTAAAAAAAAAGTCCCTGCAGACACGTCACGTCTGAAATCCTGTGAGATTTCACTCCTACTGTGTTTAGGACATATTTTCAAGACATGTAGTTACACTTAAGTGTTAAAGTTACAGTTAAGTGTCAGTGGAAACTCTGATATGAAGAAATGTTACTTTTTTGTAGAGCCTAAAATACACAACTCTCAGCAAAATAAGATTTTGTTCCAGAGTATTTATGCCCACAGATTAGTTTAAGTGGCGGACTGTAAAACTGTAGGTAGTATGGGCATATTTATGGGAAAGCAAAGTCAAAAATCTACACATTTTATGAGATCCATCTCATAATTGTGGGATCATGTTTCAGTTTGAGGTCAGAGTTTTCTTAAGCATGAACGGTTGCAGCTGAAAATGATTACGAGTCCTGCACTTGCTGCTCAAACAAAAAGAAATAACTCCAGTTGATTTGAAATGTTTTAAGCAAGCCTTGGCAACAAATCATTAGCCTCTTATCCACAGTCAGGCTGAAGCTGTGATTATTACAGGCCTGCTGGGTGTTAAACGTTATACAAACCTGATTTACACCTGCTTAAAAGCCTCGCTGCACCGCCTGCCAACGTCTTAGCCATTAAAACAAGTTCTGAGGTCTAAAAATACGTTTTCAGAGTGACAGTGGAAGATAGTATATGATGCATGGACATGAAGCATTAACCAAGTCTCCTTTTTTTCTGCTCTTGTGGCAGGGCATAAAGTCGGTGCTATTAGTCCGTCCAGAGCAACAGACCAGACCGCAATAACAATTTTCTAATGATAATCATGATCGCCAAAGGATGAATCCTAATGATTTTGGCTTTTCCTCTACCGGAGTCAAAAGTTCCACTTTTACACATGAAGTATTAAAATGTAATTGTCAGATTACCATGAAATTTTCTGATCAAATTCCCCAGAGAATGAAATGACCCCATGACCTCTTCTCTAGTGCCACCCTCAGGATAAACTTTATATTTCACCACACTGGCATTGGTGAGGCTATAATCCAAAATTTAAACTACACACCGACTCCAACAAACACTAAATCCAACCTGAAGACCAGCCAATATCAGAATAAGTACAGTAGACTAGTGTACAGGAAGAAAACTGCTTTTTAAATGTATTTTCTGAGCCATTATTTTATTTTCTTACAAACTGTAGCTCTATAGTAAAAATGGGAAACTCGTGAAACTTGGTGGAGCATTCTTGATATAGTTATCTTGTTCACACATCTGCCTGTGTATGCTTTATTCGAGGCACCAGAGACAGACAGAAATCAGAGCATAACCAACAAACCCCATCAGGGGCACACACTGACATAATGAATCTGTCAGAGTTGTCTGGATTAGTTTATTTATTATATTTATTTAAAAAAAGAAGTGAGACTGATTATTAGTCCATTGTATGGCGTGACCTTCAAAAACACTGGATCCTACATTTCCCACATTTCGACTCTTCCAGTCCAGTACATGACAATTCCTTTTACACACCTCCAGTTTGTAACTACTATAAATCTGTCATCTCCAATCAAGCTGAGACAAGCTTAATGATATCACTATTAGATCACCAGGCTCGTTTTCTCATACTCGACTAAGCTCCTCCAGACACACACAGGACAACTTACACTGTTTTTACAAACTGAGCAGTATTCCTCACAACCAGTAAATATACGAATTAACTGATCTTCAGGAGACACCACTTTAGGTAGGCTATGTAGTTTTGTTTCTTAATAGAAACATTTACTGTAATTCAGAATAAATTCACTCTTTTGAGTTAGTAAATATAGTTATTGTGTTATACTATCATTTGAGTAGTCCCCTAGTGTCCATGGCAACAGTTCTTACACTTTTTCTAGAGAAAATGTAGTAATGCTGCCCAGTGGACCAAATAAATTAATATACAAAAAACCAGACACCAACTATTGGCACTGTGGATATAAAAATGAAGAAATTCAGACTTTCACATCTCAACTTCCAGTGTAAGATCAGCGTAATTAAAAAAATTAAAAATGAAAGAAAATAAATCAACTGATGAATTCACAGCTACAATCAGCAGTTAAAATAAGTCGATCTCCCTCAGCCTCACTGTGTGTTCATTATTAATCCATCCCTCCATCCATCCGTGGTGATGCAGTGTGACTGTATTGAGGAGGCGTTGAGTGCGTTTATAAGGTGATGACCTGAGCCAATAGCTGGCCTCTCTGCTGTCCATACAGCCAACAAACAATCAATGCTGTAAATGACTTCCAGAATCAAAGGAAACAGCCTCATTTATTATTCTCTGCATGTAAGCACTTTAATGTCTGTCACTGACTGTCTGTCTGCGTACTCCTCTTCCTTTATCTAAATCGTTGTCTCATCTAGTTTTTAATGTCATATATAAACTTTAAACATTATATTTTATGCATTTGATTTCTATATATATATTAATATCTATATATATTTTATTTTTCAGGAAGTTCTGCTTCTAGTCTACTGGGCTGATGGGAAATGTGG